TGATAACTCAAAGTACTTTTGAATTTTGTTTTGTGAACAATGATAATGATGGAGAGTCAATAAAAGTACAAAAATATATTAAGATCCGATATTGATATAAGTAAGTCAGCTATCATTATTCATATTTTAAATCATTAGTACAATTTATAATTATAGATCAAGTGAATATCATCTAAGAATGTATTTTGATAATGTATAGACTAAGTAGACTTCTTAATAGAAAGAAAAAGGATTTTACATAACATCCCACATGGACGAAAAGTCGTTCATTTCCTTGTATATATTGTTTGAGCGCCTGATTGAGTATCTGGATAGCGAGATGTGCACACGTACAAGATGGTACTTAGGTAGGGGTGCTTTAGGTAAGGGTGCTTTAGGTAAGTTGTAGACAGTTGTGAGGGAGGGGTAGGCAGGATTAGTTGGCGACGTCATCACAGATAATGACGTCATTACACAGGAAGCCCAACAATGAAGGAAAATTACGAATGTATCCGAAAAATAACGAATATGTACCGTAGTAAAAGCGAGACAGTCACGAAGGTATGCCGTAGCTTCATTTCATTTTTAATGATAATTTGCTGGAGTAATCTTCTAATTAAAACAGAATAACTTTATTTTGTTTCCGTTCCTGCTCGAGACGAGGTACGAAACGAAAGAAAAAATAATTTGCATCAAACTGTCTCAGCATACAGTTGTTTCGTATTCACAACATTTTCGACTGATCATCGACGAAACTGGTAATTTCAGAGCTAGACTGATCAGAACATGGAGAGTTTAAAAACACTGGTACTGATAGTGTACACCATGGTTTGTTTGGACATGAGTTGTGGAAAAGATAATTCAGGTACTAATTAGTTCATGATTATCGAAAGCTAGACAGCAAATACACTGGAAAAAATGGCACTATTATTGAACTCGATCGTTTGTGATATAGAACAAACAAGCTATCTCTATATACCAACAGTCATTAAAACAATAACAAAAAAAAAACTAAAGAAAAACACTTCGTTGAACGCACCCGTCAAGATTACGTTAAATTTTAACGTGAAGCTATATTTTTATTTGAGAGATTCTCGTATTATCTTCTCCATCATGTGTTCTGAATGATATATTATCATATGATTGTTCAATTTCGTGCGTTCTGATTGGCTCACGCGCGGGCTGTATTTTTTACCAGGACCTGTGTCCCGGATGAAGAAAGCATTGCGTTTTTCTCGCGAGTTTCAAAGTTTTCTTTGGTTGAAAAAACTCCTAATCGTTTTTTAAATATTACTTATTTAAGCATTCTAAAACTCATGAATTATTCATTAGACATTCTTACAATGAGAATCCAATTATGGGTCACATGACAGAACCTATAACTCAAGTTAAAAACACTGATTAATCAAACATGAGTTTTATAACTAACTGATTCAGTTAGTTATAACACTCATGCATAAAACATCAGTGTTGTAACTGATTTACAGACACTCGATGTATGC